TTCCTGCTCTTGTGTCCCACCTCCTCCCGCAGTGGGCCACCTTGAGGATGGAGAGAGGCGCCAAGGAGAAGAACCACCAGCTCTACAAGCCCTACACCAACGGTGAGGCCGCGCGCTCCTTGTACGGACTGCAGCTGCGTACCTGGGCGTTTCGGACGTGCTGCTTGATGGGGCGTTCTCTTTTGCAGGAATCATTGCAAAAGATCCCACTTCCCTGGAAGAAGAGATCAAAGAGATCCGCCGAAGTGGCAGCAGCAAGGCTCTGGATAACACTCCCGAGTTCGAGCTCTCTGACATTTTCTACTTCTGCCGGAAAGGAATGGAGACCATTATGGATGATGAGGTGACAAAGAGGTTCTCAGCGGAGGAGCTGGAGTCCTGGAACCTGCTGAGCAGAACCAATTATAACTTCCAGTACATCAGCCTTCGGCTCACGGTCCTGTGGGGGCTGGGAGTGCTGATCCGGTATTGCTTCCTTCTGCCGCTCAGGTGAGGCGGGCCTGGCGGGCACAAGACTCAGCCGTGCTGCCTGGGCCTGGCGCGTGCCCACCACCCTCCCCTCTGCTTTGGTTTCCCCTGGCTGGTCCGTGTGACTCTTGAAAGGGTACCTTGGTGACTGTCCCGAAAGAGCCCTTGGACTCTGCGCGGCAGACAGAAATAGTTGGGTTCTTAAAGGCAGATTGTTCCCCGAGGTGGACTCATCACAGGGACAGGGGACATCCTGTACTTTCTGGCTCGACTCACCCTTTCCCGAAGCTCAGCTCCCGAGCACAGAGGCAATATTGATCTCTCTGACGTCGGCACCATATGCTCCCGAGGGTGTCTAGCCAGCTGCTGGCACCTTCGGCCCCACCCCGTTACGTCACAGAGAACCTGTGCTGCCAGCGGGCAAAGCCAAGGGGAAGGGTAGCAGGGCGGGACTGCAGGCGCCCGAGGACTGGCCATCATGCCAGCTGCGCCACGCCGCAGGAGGCCGTCAGCTCGAACTCAGGAGTTCACCATCGGCATGGGGCCAGTGAGCTCTGCTCTGCTAGGCCTGCTCGCCTTTCTAGGGAGAGCGCTGGTCTGGGTCTGGGCGGGCTAGACCTCGGGGTGGCTTTGTGGTGTCCACGTTTGGTCCCACACAGCGCGTGGTGGTGGTGGTACGGGGCTTTGTGTGCTGCTCGTAACTGCCTTCTCGTTACAGGATAGCGCTCGCCTTCACGGGCATCAGCCTTCTGGTGGTGGGGACCACCGTGGTGGGGTACTTGCCCCACGGGAGGTGAGTGGAGCGCACGGGCTGGGCCTGTGGCGGTGAGTTCTGGGAACGCACAGGCACTGAGGGCTAGGCCACTGCTCGCACACACCCGGTGGTAACAGTGGATCAGCGTGTAGCCCGACTTTAGTTTTCACTGATCCTGGGCTGCGGCCGCGTATTTGCCCTCCAACCCTAATCCTTTATTTTGTGGGCCGTAGGTGTGTGTGCTCGCCAGAGAGACAGATGGAGACAGGAAAGCGAGAAGTCACCCCAGGGGATGGTCATCCGCACTCCCTCCTCAGGATTTGGGGCATTGCATGCACACTTGCCCTGCCTGATTTCCCAGCCACTGGGTCTGGGACTTGAACCATCGTTAGCAATGTAGGAGTCCAGCACCTTAACCACCACACCACCTGCGGCCCCCCTCTAATGCATTTTGTATATGATATCAAGAAGGGGGTCATGGGACCAGCAGTTAGCGTAATGGTTATGTCGCTGGACTCCCATGTAGTCGACCGCGGTTCATGTCCCGGACCCGGTGGCTTAAAATTCACACCAGGTGCATGTGCGCCGATTTTAAAGACAAAATGGAGAAACCACGGAAAGTCCGGAGCTCACATGTTAACAGATTTTACAATGTACTTTTTAATTTGGAGCATTCTACTGTGTTGATAAATTGGTAAAAGGACTTGGTTTTAAAAAATGGATTTGGAGTGTAGGTAGGTTTTGTTCATTTTATTTGTTTCTAAAGAAAACTTCGCTGCCTCTGGGAGGTTCAGGTGCTTGCAAACCTCTCTTCTGGCTAGGCTGCTGAGGTGAGGCTCTGGCCTTTGGCCGGCCTGTAATGTTGACAGGGAGGGACTCTAGCCGACCCCCAGCCGGCCGTTTCCTGTGGGAGTCTTTGGGCTATGAACTCGCAGCCCATTCGTGTTGGTGATCGAAAGCACTCCTTGTTGTCAATCCCCTGTTCCTCCTGTGAACACGTAAGGTCAGGTGCTCATGCATCCAGGTTTTGCTACATGCACTGATATTTGTAAAAGTCTTTCTCAGTCTTAAGGGACCATCAAGACCGTTCAACTGTTGAGATCAGCAATATTTCCCGTCTTCCTGTCTGTGAAATAAAGCCCGCCTCCTTGGGATGTTTGTGCAGGTTTAAGGAGTTCCTGAGTAAGCACGTCCACTTAATGTGTTACCGGATCTGCGTGCGAGCCCTGACGGCCATCATCACCTACCATGACAGGTGCGGGGGCTTGCTGACACACAGGGAGGTGGCCCTGGCAAGGCACACGCACCTGCGCTCGGCCGAGTGGGCGGCTGCTCTGAGCTGTGAGAGCCGGTGCAGCCTGTCAGCGACGGAGTGGCCCAGGGTTTCACACTGATTTTGGTTGCTCTCTGCATGTTTTCCATCCAGGAAAAATAGACCCCGGAATGGTGGCATCTGTGTGGCCAATCATACCTCCCCCATTGATGTGATCATTTTGGCCAGCGATGGCTACTATGCCATGGTAAGACCTTTTCTGTATTCTCCAAGCAAAACTTAACTCTAGACTGGTCAGGGCTGGGAGGTTCAGTGGCCTTCGAAGGGTGCTTCATGAGGGTGTAGACACGGAAACGTGTTTTTAAACACAAGTGTCCTGGGGGAATTCCTTGGGATCCTGGTAGCTGTGCTGAGTGGCTGTGGGAGTGGCTGTGGCCGTGTAGTGAGATCGTGGAAGTGGAGAATGGGAAGGGCTGGAGAGGACGGGCAAGAACCCGCCCAGGAGGGGGACTTGTACACGAGTGATCCCTCCACTCCGTGGCCTTGGGGTTTGTAGTTAGGATTTTAACAGCGTTTCTGTGGGACCACCGGCTAAGAGGAGAAATGGAAGATTTTGGGGTGTCTTAGTAGTAGCTTCTTGGTAGTGAAACGCAGCCAGCAGTAAAATGCTTAGGAGTGAGTGGCCGGGGCACCACACTGTGGGACCTGGGGCTCCGCAGAGCAGGGCTTGAGAGGGCCTCACCGCTTGTTATCCCTTTGTGTGAGATTAGGTGGGCCAAGTTCACGGGGGCCTCATGGGTGTGATTCAGAGAGCCATGGTCAAGGCCTGTCCGCACGTCTGGTTTGAGCGGTCCGAAGTGAAAGATCGCCACCTGGTGGCCAAGAGGTAAATGACTAAATGGCGTTGTATTGTTACCAGTTACCACTATGCAGGAAGCGTTTTAGGGGTACTTGTCCCTCCGCGGTGGAGTTAGTGTCTTCGACACTGTAGAAGAAGGTGCTTTCAGAATACATTTTCCCCCGTGTAAAACATGAACTATAAAAAGTATAGAAAGCCTAGTGTAAATGTCTACCCTTGTTCGTTGCAGCACGGTAACAACACGTGAACGTCCACTGCTATCTGAGCTGAGTGGCTGTGGGAGGGGCTGTGGCGGTGTAGGGAGATCGTGGAAGTGGAGAATGGGAAGGGCTGGAGAGGACGGGCAAGAACCCGCCCAGGAGGGGGACTTGTACACGAGTGATCCCTCCACTCCGTGGCCTTGGGGTTTGTAGTTAGGATTTTAACAGCGTTTCTGTGGGACCACCGGCTAAGAGGAGAAATGGAAGATTTTGGGGTGTCTTAGTAGTAGCTTCTTGGTAGTGAAACGCAGCCAGCAGTAAAATGCTTAGGAGTGAGTGGCCGGGGCACCACACTGTGGGACCTGGGGCTCCGCAGAGCAGGGCTTGAGAGGGCCTCACCGCTTGTTATCCCTTTGTGTGAGATTAGGTGGGCCAAGTTCACGGGGGCCTCATGGGTGTGATTCAGAGAGCCATGGTCAAGGCCTGTCCGCACGTCTGGTTTGAGCGGTCCGAAGTGAAAGATCGCCACCTGGTGGCCAAGAGGTAAATGACTAAATGGCGTTGTATTGTTACCAGTTACCACTATGCAGGAAGCGTTTTAGGGGTACTTGTCCCTCCGCGGTGGAGTTAGTGTCTTCGACACTGTAGAAGAAGGTGCTTTCAGAATACATTTTCCCCCGTGTAAAACATGAACTATAAAAAGTATAGAAAGCCTAGTGTAAATGTCTACCCTTGTTCGTTGCAGCACGGTAACAACACGTGAACGTCCACTGCTATCTGAAACCTCAGAATGAGTTCATCAGCACCTGTAAGACTTACATGAAGCAGTGGGACAGGTGCTCTGTTCAAACTTAAAAAGAAACAGTTTGGACGGGCCCTGCAGCCTAGTGGTTAAAGGAGCCAGATCCCACGTGGCTGGCTACAGCTTGAACCCCAGCCTGATGGCTCACTAAACATGCTGGGGGTGTGTGTGCACCCCAAGTCCCAGCAGGATGGTGAAATGGAAGAAAAGGGATGTGGCATGACCATGCCCTGTTGGGGGTGTGCTCTCCCTCTCTCTGTCTCTGGCAAGCACACAGTTTCCGGCAGTTAGAACAGGGAGAGGGAGACCCACGTGAGTACCCCACAGGCTCCGCGTAGACAGAGAGGCATTGCGACCCAGGTGAGACCGTCTTCCACGGGGCAGATGAACCGTCCACCAGTTCCCTTTGCTGCATCACAGGGACCGAACATCTAACCAGGGGAACGGGAGTTCAGCCCAGTGTGGCAGTTGTACAGTCTGGTGGGAGGACTTAGCAGGGTCCTGTGACAGGCACCCCCCACCTGGGCCCCGGCCTGAGCAGTGTCCTTGGTGCATGGATTTTAATACTGAGCTGCAGAGTGTGGGCGTTCAGTAGTAGTCAGCTGCTGGCCTGTACCTCTGTAAGTTTTCTTTTTTCTTTTTTTTTTTTGAGAGGTTTTTGCGATAGGGCACATATGCTCGCCAGAAAGATAGAAACAGACAGCGAGAAATCACTCCCCAGGGGGTTGGCCACACTGCAGTCTCTTCTCCTCCATTCTCCTCTCGGGATCTTGGGCACGCACGCACGCGTACCCAGCATGAGTTTAAGCCTCTGGGTCTGGGACTCAAACTACGATCTACTACATGGGAGTCCAGTGACATAGCCATTATGCCAACTGCTGGTCCCAAGTTTCTCTTTATGAGCATTAGATTGTAGGCCTATGAAGGACAGGGCTATATTTTCAACTTGCTCTTTCTAGCTAAACTGCTATCACGTGTCAGGCTATTTGTAGGTGCGTTTAACGGTGGGTGTGAGGTTGCCTGACCGCTTGTTTTATCTCCCTCGTCTAAAGACTCACCGAACATGTGCAAGATAAAAGCAAGCTGCCTATTCTCATCTTCCCAGAGGGTAAGAAGGGGTGAGCGCTGCCAGCCTCGTGGGGGGACCATGCAGGACGTGGCCCTGGTGTGCCCTCGGAAGCAAGGTCCCCAGCTTTTGTTGGGGTCCCCTGGTTTCACTGAATCATGTTCAGTCTTCTTCACATTGGCTGTGGGACCGAAAATGTGGGAAAGGTCAGAATGGGGGTTCACTGTGCCGCTCGCTCCTTAGCAGGAGTCCCGTCTCCATCGTGCACAGGGCCCTGCTGCCTGTAGAGCTCTTACCAAGTGCTCCTATGTCCCCGGGTCCCTCCTGGATCTGCTGGTGTGGCCGGGCAGGGCAGCAGCCTGGGAGAAGCCAGCCAGCAGTCCGATGTCCCTCCTGCCCCCCTCAGGTGTCATTCATGCCTGAGGGAGGTGGCAGGCTGAGTCTGATTGGGGGCCATTGGAGGGATCTGGGTCATTGTGCTCTGTCTTTAAGAAATGCCCAGTGTCTGGGGTAAAGGGACTAAAGAAACCACACTCCGCTTTTTCCACATCTCAGGGACCTGCATCAATAACACGTCGGTGATGATGTTCAAAAAGGGAAGTTTTGAAATTGGAGCCACAGTGTACCCAGTTGCTATCAAGGTATGGTCCCCTGGGGTGCACATGGTCATCGTCGCCACTGGAGTGAATGGGACAGGCGAGACAGGGTGGGCGAGGTGTGGTGTCACCGGCCGGTGGCCTGGTCCCCCTGGCAGCGCAGTTCGGGTTGGGTGAGGCTGGAAGAGTCGTGTGCTGGTCGCTCCTGGCCCCATGAGAGGTCCGGACGGGAACCTGTCCCTCCTGCACCTCGCCGCCCCGACCCAGGAGCGGCAGGCTCCTCGGCTTCTCACTGTCTCGTTCTGGCCACTTCTTTCATCCTTGCCTGGCTGGGAGGTGTGTGTGTGTGGGGGGGGGCTGCCAGGCTGGCTCAGGACTGGGCTCCGTCTCCTGCCACTGAGAGTTCAGTACTGACGTGGCCCGAGAGCCTCCTGGTCCTGGCCCCACCCGGACAACTGATCCTCTAGCCCTTCGAGCTCCCGGGAGGGGCACGGCCAGCCAGTCAGCATGCTTGCTCCTCTCGCGCCCTCCCGGCCACCTGACTTCATGGCTCCCGGCCTTGCTCCTGAGACGCAGGCGTCAGTGTGGTGAGCGCTCGGGCTGAGTGGCAGAGCAGGCCTGTGCACCCGGGAGGCCAGGCTGTGCCCAAGCTGCCGTCTTCTGTGGTCATCTCCGCCCACGCGGTGCGGCTCGGCCGAGGGGGAGCCA